TAGACACTTTCCTGCAGGATTTCCATGCCTTGGACCCCAGGAGGGAGCCAAGCCACAAGGCTTTGAACTGTGATTTGTATATAGTACAACAGAAACCCCCTTTAGACTGACACTAAACCAGTTTAAATCAGTCCAACACTGATTTACGTCACCATTCTCCTCTTTGTCTCTTGTCTCTTCTCCTGCTGGCTATTTCAAATTCATCTCCCTGCCCTCGGTAACTACTGCAAAAGGGTGAAGAAGTTTACTTAGTCACACTGAGTTTAGGGAGATGAGGAAAGTCTGTGATTCAGTGTGTGTGTGTGTGTGTGTGTGTGTGTGTGTATGTGTGTGTGTGTGTGTGTGTGTGCATGCGCGAAGGTGTGTGTGTGTGTCCGCTTTTGCGCGTCAGTGCCGTTTACTTGTATATGTGTGCATGCGCGTGTGTGAGATGCAGAAATGTGTACACACACACACGCACGCACGCACGCACGCACGCACACACACACACACACACACACACACATACACACACACACACACACACACACACACACACACACACCCCTGTTTGATCCAGAGCTAGCCCCGCAGCTCCCAGAGACTCAACAAAAGGCCTCCTCTATCCATTGTATGAGCTGTGTGTTTCCCAGGAGAGCTCGGGCTCAGTGAGAGAAGGGCCCCAGATCGCTTTCTCCTGACATGGATGTTTATTCGCTCTATGGTCCAGCAGAACACCCTCAAAAGGACTGGCCTTAGCAGTGTGACGTGCATGACACATAATTTTGGAAAAGAGGAGAGGGGCTAGAGGTTGCAAAGAAGAAAAAGAGAGAGTGAGTGCCTTGACAGCTGAACAGACATACAAGACAGACAGATAGAGAACAGTGCTGTCTATGAAGGTGTTCTCAGTGCACTCATATGAAAAAGAATATTCAGGGTGTTCTCCACCATTTTATTTGCTCCTTGTCTTTACACTAGTCAGCTTTCTTGTCAACCTTGTTCATGAATGTAGATCCACCCAGTGGGTGGGTAGAGATTTCCCCCTGATCTTGACAAGCTCTCCCATCCCTGACTGCATACTAATTTCTCCAGAGCTACTGAACCAATGCAAAACAAATACAAATTGCCAGGGCTGCTGTTCATTGCTTGAGAAGCAGGGTCTTAGAAGGTTAGCAGATAGTAGCTGTCTATTGTGGCTCTGTGATTAATCAGATTGTCTGCTGTGGACAGAGAAGCTTACGGGGACCGCTGTTGTAGTTGGCTATGTGATATCTTTAGGAATCCGTCAATATGTCGGAGTTTAAAATCCTGAGCTAATGACTGGAAGTGTAAAAAGCCGACTTATTCTTCCAGCAGTCAATTAAAAGTCCATCACCATCATGTTCAATGCGATCAGTCGGACAATAACTTTTGATTTTGAGGACGGCAGGTTTGGAGGTTTTAAAGATGTCTCAGCATTTCACTCGGTAGACGACGATCTGTCCTCAGCTGCTCTCTCTTCACCAGTTGTCTTTATCTAAGAGTTTTGAATGCTATCTATCAGAGTGCCTCACTTTCGACCGCAATATCTAAAGGTTTCCTTGAGATTGAGAGTGCCTGCGGGGTTGACCATAGATCTCAGTAGAGCTGTAGAAGCCGACAGTTGAAAACAAACATGGTAGGCTGATACCATCTAATCTGTTGAACACCATTATCGTCTAAGATATCGCTATACCTCTCTCCATACCCGCATGCACCCACCCTCCACACCGGACTTACTCTCTCTCCTCTACACTCTTTGAGGTAAAAGCTTGTGTGTTGAGGCTGAGAGTGAATGTAAGCCATTGTTATGGTGTAACCGGACTCTACAGCAGGTTGTTTGATCCTGTTTTGGGCCTGAAAAGCTTTTCTTTTTTTTTCTTTTTTTTTTACTTGAATCACCACATCAGCTGAGAGGGTCAGACAACAGACTGTATTTGTGGAGTCTTCTGTCTCTCTGCTTCTTTTTTTTTTCTTTCTCCTTTTTCATCCTCACTTTGTCTCTCTTTGTCAGTCTAAATCTCTCATCCAGACTCAGATTTTAGTCCGAAGCTTTAATAACCATAAAGAGAAGCAGGCACTCGTTCACATATTATACTAAGACACGCAATTATGCTTTTAGGCACACGCTGTTGCTCTCGATTTGTCCCTCATTCTCACTCCCTTTTTCTTTAAACAGGATCTTCTTGTACCTCTCTCTCCTTGCACAGACTCTGGGATTATGTTTCTTGCTTGCACCTCTGGTATGGCAATAGCAAAAGAGAACGTTACTGGGAAGTGTTTAGGTGACAAAAGCTTTAGTAAATTGTTTTGTCGGCCCACAATGCTTACCATGATACAGCCAAGCTCTTGTTGTGTTCCTGTTTACCCGACATCATTTCATTATTCACATTACAACATGGAACCATGCCTCTGTATTGTCGAATGTTTTGGGCGCTGACTTGCAGTTCTACACCTTTGTTACTGTTTTGGCATTGTGCTCTCAATTTATGATCTGTTTGGCGTTCAGTGTGGACAATGTGCATGCAAATATCCTCGTCCCATTATGCCGGCTGTCTTTGTATGTCAGCTTTCTTCCCTAAGAGGTATAGATGAAGAGTTGGAAGGGGGGGGGGGGGGGGGGGGGGGATGGTGCTGTATGTATTTGGAGGGAGATTTGTGCGCGCACACGAACACACACGCACCCATCTGTGCCCCCAACCCATTTCAGACGTGAGAAACTGTACCTTCATTTGCATAAGAATAATTGACACTTCAAATTAGCCTTCCAATCAAAGAGGATTATTTTTTTCAGCATATGTGCAGGCAGTGAGCACTGCCATGCTGGAGAATATGAAAGGGAGGGCAAAAGAGAGCATGGACGGGAGGGGACACGTCATAAAAGATTAACCCTTTCATTTCCTCATCTCAGAGTAGAGGATTTGATATGCCTTTTTATTGCAAATATAACTTGATATACAGTAAAGCAGACTTTTGTAGGGAAATAATAAACGGTTTCTTCTCTAAATCAAGGGATGCTATGCCTGCCTGGTAGGGCAAAATGGTGTTTCTGATTGATAGGTGTTTTACCTTTGAAAGCTTTAGGTGCACTGACTGTGTTATGTGCACGTTTACACGTCTATATTCACCTCAGTGACATTGGGCGCAGGCCAAGAGACTGAGTGCTATTAAGTAGAGTGTGTGAGTGTGTTTGTGTTAGTGTGGATGTGTGCGGATTGAGGGTTTGCCCACATTAAACCATTAAAGCAAGTGCAATGTTGAATTATTGATAATGGCTAATGAAAAGGATCAGTTCAGGATGAACTACAGGCTTAACCATAGCCCTGAGGGCTAAGACACACACACACACACACACACACACACACATACACACACCAAACGTCATTTATTTTCCCTGCTCAACATCTCTTTTAGCTTTTCTTAGACAAGGATTAAACTGGTACTGGCGTGGTATTCTCTGTCTATATCTCACTCTCGATCATGCTCAGGTTATGTTAAAACCCACTCCACTTAAGAGCAAGGAAGACCCCAACACTAGGCTGCTGTGTGCTTCCAGGCCTACCCAGTTGAGAAAGCAGAGAGCCTTTTTGAGGCTGAGCTTGTTTTCAGGGAGAATAAGGGACAGGGATTCAGTTTTGGGGGGAAGGGGATAAAGAATAGGGGTTGAGGGTTTGGAGGGGTGAGGGGGGCCGGCGCCAGCCCCTCTGAAGCACTCAGCATCCCCCCGCTTATGGGATGGCGGATGTGTCTGGGGGTATCCATGACAACACTGCTGCATGCCAGGGACATACCACGGCAACATGGCCAAGTAGAGTTGGTGTCCGTGTGTGTGTGTGTGTGTGTGTGTTTGTGTGTGTAGGTCCATTAAGGCCCACATATCTCTGTGACATTAATATTCACTCACTCAGACAAGGAGCTGCTGCAGCCTCAATCAGTTTGCTGTTAGACAGGCATGTATCTCAGACACCTGTATTTCAGCCTTTGACTCAGAGGCTCAACATGAATATGTCCACTGCATACATACTCTCCTGTAAGTGAATGTAAGCCAGTTTGTGTATAGTTTGACACAGTTGTCAAGGAAAATGCCTTCTCGCTAATGGTTCAGCATGGCACAGTTTTATGCTTGTACTATACAATATATTTTATACTTTCACAGACAGAGAGGTGCACCCTCACATTCACTCGGGTCATGAAGCACAGGTCAGGACTCACTTACTCTCTAACAAACATGCACACACACTAACACACACTCTCACACACAGAGCCTTGCACAATCACACTCCTAGCTCTTGCACAGATCAAGCTGTGTTATAATAATCCCATCTGGGACGGCCTGGATTCTCACTCAGAAAGTACCCACATAATGATGCTCTGATGAGTTCCTGTGTGTGTGTGTGTGTGTGTGTAAAAGAGAGAGAGAGAGAGAGAGAGAGAGAATGGAAGGTGCCTTGTGTGTCATGGGTTATATACTGTTTTATATTTTAAACCCACATCCCTGCCCACACACATGCACACATACACACATACACACAAACTGACACACACACACACACACACACACACACACACACACACACAAACGTATGTAGAGTCAAACTCACATCCTATGGGAGAGTATTTTTAACCCCGACTGCCTGCGCATTTGCTGAGGGGTTAAAGGGCGGAACAGTGAATCAAGTAAATAATTCACAATAGCTGAAACTCTTTCGATGTAACCTCCGAATGAATGGGGGAGGGAGACCAAAGAGACTTAGTTATGTACTGGCACACTATAGTCCAGTCTAATCGTACTTACTGTTTTGCTTAACTGTACTAAGTTGTCAAAATGCAATAACCAATAAGACAGACATGACTCTTATCCAATAAAGTCTGATTCCATGCAGTGTCTGTAAAATGTGTACAGAGATATGTATACCTTGCATGTTTATCCACTGTACATTTGCATGTTGGAGTGTATACATACATACACAACACTAAACATTATGCCTATGCTGTGTTTTCAGGTTGGAGGGAGACCTCATAGATTGTGACCCAGATACAAATGGCATAATGACTGGAATCTCCAGGCCAAAGATGTCAAGGATATTCAGCTGATCTCAGAGGTGACTGCGCTCTCTCCTTTCAAGCATTACTGTTTCTGCCCTCTTGTTATATGGACTATATTTCACAATTTCTTTGCTATGGATCAGCAGTCTCTGCATTCTTCTTCTCAGAGAATTCTATATGAAAGTGTCTGTAAGACATTTTGAGTGACATTGCTTCTGTCAAACGGCTGATTGAAGGAGACACAGAGAGAAATGCTGTGCTAATGAAATCGTCTGACCCACATCCTTCAGTGCTATCCATTTCTCCAAAGACACAGAAAGGGCATTTATACAGGTAAACCATGACTGGTCCCTGAAGTGAAAAAGGGGTTTTTCAGAAGGAAGGGGAACATCCATTATTTACTATACTGGGGTTGCAAGACACTTAGGAGATAATGCAGTGCTTCAAGCATACAAAACATAGAGCCTCCTCGGTGCTGGGGCGGCCATTGTTGTGTGTTTTGAACATGTCTGTTTCCATCCACACTGACAGATGAAAAAGAATATGTCTCCCCAAGGTTCAGAAGCATGGACAGAGATAGATAGAGAAAGAAGGAAAAGGAGAGAATCGGATGGCAGAGAGATGTGTTTGTGTGTGTGTCAGTCATATCTTTGTGCATGTCTGTGCATTTGTGCACATGTGTGTCTATTTATTGCCCCCAGTCTGTTTTTTGGGAAACTGTATGTACAGTGGTACGTGTCCAAACCAACCCAGCCCCAGATTATACAATGTAAATGAGGCAGTCTTTTGAAACTGTACACATGTACATGCATCATGTTTCCCTGGCACAGAGTTTGTATAGTCTCTTCCAGAAGTGAAAGGCTTCAGTGAAGTCTTATTCTCTGCAGATCAGCAGCAGCATCAGTTGCCTCCTCATGGAGAGGCATCTGACTGCAGTCTACTGGGAGTAGTTAGCAGAAGGAGAGCAAGGCATACAACTCCTCCACCCTGTTATCAGACTTGGGGCAACACCAGGCACTACTTTCTGCTGTTGTCAATTTCCCGGAGGACAAGCTGACATGAAACCCTCTTTTGTGGATGAGGGGAGACCACTCCCAAAAACTCCTGTATTTTTCCACATAAATGCACACTGTGGTGGAGAGTATGATGACAACTATCCAGGTTTGCAGATCAGGTCTAGGAAAATGTCGATCTACTGGCATTGAAGAATCCCCCAAATTAGACTGACAAAAGAGTTTTTTTTTTCCATTTCACTGAAGGGCAAGACTATAAAAATCTATGCCCCAGTTTGTAAAAGATCACTTTAAGTTCACTCCTATAATCTTGCTCTGAGGTGCCTTACATACGCCATCTTGTCTACACCAACATCTATAGTAGCCTATATTGACAGGTATTATGAGATGTACAGTATGTAAAGCCCCCTTTCCACTGGTCAAAAAACCCACTAAGACCAGCTAACATCGGGCTTTTGCTGGCAACGAAAAAGGCTGCAATCGCATTCACAGACCAAGTCAAATGACTACAGTAGATGCGGGTATTTACTGGCTTTGGCTTCGGCATCAATGTAAACACAACACCAGGGTGAACTCACTAATTTTTGCTCCTTTTACTGCTGTATAGTCTCTCAGATCACACAGACACTGAAGACACACCTGTCACCTGTGAAGCATGGAGCTGTTATACCAGAAACACTGTGGCTATACTACCAGCATCGTAAACAGGCAAAACCAGCAAATGGATGATTATTCCCTACCTTTGAAGCGATCATAAATCTGCATTGTCTGTCCATTCCTCGATTGTTTATATTCCTTTTGTCCATATGTGTCCACCGATCGAAAAATCAAAAGGAGCTTTCACAAAAGTATTCCAAGTTTTGAATATGGTGATGTGAAGCCGATTGCAGTCTGTCGAATGACGGTTTTTGCATCACTTCTCTCCACATTTCGAACATTTTCCCTCCTTCCGGCTTCTTCTTCTTCTTCTATGGTGTTTTAAAGCAGTTGGCGTCCAAAATGTTGCATTACTGCCACCTACTGTTTACTCTCTCTCAATATCCATTCATTTCAAATCCGTTTTTTCCAGTCCACTCTTTAAATAATGAAATAATCATTTCCTTCCTTGAACACCATCTCCACATTCTACAATAATTTTAACATTGTCCTCTACCCGCGCCATAATTGTGTCATCAGTTCTACTCTTTACTGTACAAACTTCCAGCATGATATGAATATGATGTGCTCAAACCTTGTGGCAATGATTTCAAAGACCCACTTGATTGTTTTCCTGTGATGTAGAAGTTAAGGTTGTTTTGTCCCATTCTCAGCCTGCTTATTATTACTTGCTCCTTCTGTTTTGTCCCCCTGCTTCTTCACCTTCCCACTCCGGCCGCTTGGCTTCTTCTTCTTCTTCTTTTTGGTTTTGATTGGTGGGTGGCAACTAGTTTGCAGGTGCATTACCGCTTGGCTGCTCGTTTTTTTAGCTTACTGGCTACAAACTGGAGGTCTCCCTGCAAAGATCCATTCAGATTTCACTCCAGGAGGCCTGGGTGAAGACAGCAAGTGCACCTAAGTGAAAAACCAATTATGCTATTCTTTCAGTCAGAGGAAGTGCTGCTATTCTATCTTGAAGACTGGCATATTCCTTGTCAAATGAAACCGAACACTCTTGGTTGTTCACTTCTGAGCCGATGTTGATTGGCTGTGAATGGTGTGCAATGTCCCACCTCACAGCTGAGAGGGTGCAGGAGGAAATGTAGATGAAAAGAAAAAGATCAACACTCTTTTGAAAGATATAAAATGGTTTTTAGGCTGTTGTTTCAGATTAAAGAATCAAAGCAAAGTTTTCTATTTAGAGAGGTTCAAGTATACCAGTGATAAAACTAACTAAAAAGTCCATTGCACCCATAAAGTTAGGCCTAGAGGCCTGAAATTTCACACAGGTGTTTTTGACAAGATTGTAGAAGCAGTATGATGATTTTCATAGTTACTTGTTACTTTTCAGATGATGTCTCATCAATGTATTTTGGTCTTACCAGTTAAAAGCTTTTGCATTTGAATATGTAAATGTATGCAAATTGCACTAACAAAATGGTGGATCATAAGAGGTCATATATAGTATAGTATATATACTATGAAGGGAAGTTATTTCCCTAACTATCCATGGCAAAACATCTGCTTTGACATCACTGAAAAGATCGCTGCCATATGCTGAAAATATGATCAACTCCTAAAGAGCATTGTTGCAGCTATTTCATTTTACCTGATAAACATGAAGCTATGATCTGTCTGTCCAGTTGGTGACTGTCAAATTATTTGTCTGGTGTAACCAAAATATCAGACATACTGAGGAATATCAGCAAAGCTCTGGATCCACATGCACGTGTACACACACACACACACACACACACACACACACACACACACACACACACACACACACACATACACAGACACACACATACTGCGGACATCATATAGGCATTAAACTGCAGTGTCAGCAAAGAAGATGAGGAGGATGCAGAGAGAGGCACATGTAGCTTTGACTAAGATCAGCTGCCACAGATAGACAGGCAGGCCAGGCAGACAGCGTGTGCCCTTGAGGTGCTCTGAGCAGGCAGGGTGGTGTGCTTGAATTTCTCTGAATCCACCTCCCTTCATCTTTTGGAGTTGGGCTGAGTTTGGCTGTTGATGGCCCAGGGACCCCCTGCCAACCCCAAACTGTTCTGTACTGTCAGCCAAACATCAGAGAAATTTGTTGTAGAAGAAAGCCTGGCCAAAACAGTACTTTTGTACATTGTGGAAAAACTTAGGGGATTTGCTGACTTATAGCAACTTGCAAGGGACTCATCACCTTTTTAAGACATTTCAAGTGTCAGACAAGATAAATCAGCAAATGCATTAAACCTTTAGGAAACACCTCAGTTGAAGTCATGAGATCCTGAAATGACGTACTGCTCTGTCTTTGTTGTCTGATGCAGACAATGACACCATACACTGAAGATATAACTGAGTTAGTCAGGCATCCTTACTTTCTCAAATGACCCCAGCTGTTCTGTACAGCCTATACATTCACAGTGGGCCCCAGAATACCTCCCATGCTTGTCAACGAGCTCTATAGTTTCGTGGTAATGTAATACCATAATGTCTGTCTGGAGGAAGGGAGTGTCAGGTATGGCGGGAGTAATGGAGGAAGGGCTGGAGGTGCAGGTAACCCAGGTTAGGCTGGGTGTAAAGGGGATCCGATAAGGCGTTCCCTGGACCCGACAGTCTCCCAGTCTCTTCTATGAGAGAATAATAAGCAGCTGTAACCCTGAGACACTCCCAGGCCTGTGTCCTCAGCTACAAAAACCTTCACCGGGCGTCTTATCAGGTTCTAAGGATATCATGTAAGACAATACATGTGAGAAGTGCAGGGGGAACAATAGGAGGAAAGTTCAGTGTGATATGAGGGGGACTAATGTCAGCAGCTATTGTTAAGGCCTTTGTCGCCTTCAAGTACACTGGGAACTCACAACTTACTGAAGTCCATTCATTCAAGAATCTTGCATTGGGATGTGATGAAACTGTACGAGTGCAGTCCCTCATGCTTTAGCAGTGACAAACTGTACACACAGAGGTTATGTGTTTGCTGTGGATAAAGTGTAACTAACAGGTTGCTGGAAGGTGTCAGCTTGCCCCCACTGACATGAATTGTTATGTTAATTGCATTGTTAATTGTTTTAATTGACATTTTTATAAAGTTTTCCATGAAAATTTGGATGTAATAAAATGTAATAAATGATCAGCTGAGATTTCTAGAATGTCTTTGAATTGTTTTAATCATTTTCATATTTCTGTTTTTTAGGTAAACGAGTTGTCCTGATCAACTAGAGAGGAGCTTGAGGATGTCTGCACATTAATCTCACATGCTTTTGGAGCTTCATGTTACTCACTACAACACTTGGACCTGCACTGTACTGTTTATTTGTGTATTTCTCTCAATTGGTTAAATAAGATTGTTGACCAAACTGTCCTTCACAATGACCTGAAAATAGTCATTCCAACACCTCCTGTGAGCTTAAGCATCAACATATATATTTTAAATACAAAGATGAAAATATTCTGCGCATTGAAACTTGTGTTTATTTCATGTAATTGATTGAGTCTAACAAGTATACCTTTTGACAGCTAAATAAAAGCTTTTTTTTCCCTTTAAGTGATGTTCTTAAGTGTGAGTTATTTCCTCCTTTCTGTGCAGTGCTTTGGCACCCCAGGTAAAGAACAATGTGCTTGACATAATTGGGTCCCATTTAGTTGTGAAAAGAGCGTGCATGCTGATAAAAGCTGGCAGTGTGATCAAAGCACCGCGCGTTCTGATCAAAATCGTACACCTGACACAGTTGTAGTTTATTCAGACAGACTTACGAAACGCAGAGGAAACAGTTTTCACACAGAAGCCTCCCTGTTTAAAATCAGTTCCATTCCACTGTGTGCACTGCTGGGTGTGCTATACTGTGTGTCTTTCAAGTCAAATGTATTTCTACGTGCAAAATATGAAACAACAATTAATAACTAGAATCTAGGGTGCTTATTTTTCTGCACTTAGATGACAACTTGAGGCAAAATTTGTTGCTTTTTCCAGTCCATGCTGCATATCTGGCTTATGTTTTTGAAAGAGAAAGAGTACAAACTGACTTTTGTTTCCTGGCCAAAGTTTCCCTATGTTTTTATTCACATTACAACAAGAAGGATCAAAAGTAGGAAGCTGTAACTTCTTCTGACAAATTGTTTCATATTGGAAAGAAGGCTAATTTTTCTCCTTTTTCTATCCTTCATCACCCTCCATTCATCTTTATGTGCCTCTCCATTTTCCCCTCTCCTTCCTAATCATATTAATTCTCTCTGTCCCTCCCTACTTAACATTCATTTTCACTATTTTTCTCACGCTTACCCCATCTTCATTTCCTTTACCAGCATCACTCTTCCCTTCTTTCCTACAACCGTCTTTCAGTCCTGTCTGCCCGCCCACCCCTCCCTCGTCCTCCCCCACCCTTACCCATTCTTTCACTACCTCTCTCTCTCTTTTGCTCCCTCTCTCTCCCTTGTCTTTCTCTCCCTCTCAGATGTCAGATCACAGTCTAGTCTTCCGCTTGCCCTGTCATCACATTTTTCACACAACCCCATCCCTTAATTGGGCCTGTATCATCATATCATATCATGTAGAATACCTGATCACAGCAAGAGATGAAAGATAGCCTCCACCTATCCCCTCACAGACAGACAGCCCCTCACATACACTGCAGACTCGCACAAACACACACGTACACACATACACACACACACACACACCGCCACGCTCCCACAAACACATACATCAGTGGTCGTATGGGACAGGAATCCAAGCTGATGGCTGTGTCTGTGTACATTTTTACACCTCATGTTTGCACCAAGTTGTCGATGTGATTGTTACAGTGTGACAGGTGAGATGGTGTGTATTCCAAGAGTGTCCAATGATGTTTGTATCAACTGCTGTTGGCTTTTGTGATGAGACAAAGGATGCCCTGGAGCCAGCAGTGTCACATCTACAGGTAACTAGCAAAATAAAGGAAACGTCAACAAAAAAAAGTGTCTCAGGAGAACTAAAATAGCTCCAACTTGTCTTGGCATCAACTTGATGGATGGAACATGAAATCTTGTGCAAGACATCCAGTCATTCCTGCCGCTGGTGGTGTTTAACTTGAAAAATATTCGGCAACAATTAGCGAGATAATGACATAAATTGCTGTGGGTTTTTGGTTTAAATTGTGTTCCCTCTCTCCAAAGGCCCCTTCCATCCAGATAAAAGAAGTTACAACAGATAAGGTCAAAATGCTACTGCAGTATAAGACTGAACCTCTACTGACAAGAATATGGTGAGAGTATTTGCTTACAGGTCTTTCATGACACAGCTGCACAATCTCAATTTCTTTTTCCTTAGGTCTCAGATTCCCACCAAATCAAATTTCTGGCTAATAAATTATATTAGCATTTTTTCATTTCCATCTCATTAAATCTTAATGATCATGTCACAGTCATGGACAGTCATGAAATGTCTATGAAAGGGCAAATGTTTGCACTACATTTACACTTTGAATACTAAAATAATTATTAGAGCACATGCAGAAACTTAATATACATCGGTTCATGTTTCACAGTTTGTAGGTGTGGCCTGAGTCACAAACACTTCACCATAAGATGAAGCTCAACAAGCCTTTATGTTGTATATTGTTATGTAGCAGATCAGTGTTTTTTTGTTTTTTTTACTTGGGGCCCCTTAACATAGGTTGTATGTGTGTGAGTCATGAGCAGTGTAACTGTGACTGACTTATTTGAATAATTTTTTGGCCTTTAGGACTAAAGAGGCCTAAAAGTGAATAGTCACATAATAATTTTGAGACCTCTCAGATTCATCTTGTTACCTATTAGCAGGCACAGATTATGAACCACTCTAGTATAGAATTAATTCTGTTAAAATGTTATTTTCTATGCCATAGTTGGTGTTCACAGAGTCCTGTTTTACCAGTGGAAGCTGAATCCTGTCTGCCTACATGTTTATGGACAAACAAGGTCAAACGTCAACAGACAATCCTGATCTTACTGTGCACAAATGTAGTTTTATTTAGTAAGGATTTTATTTTATTTTTCACATTTCACAGAATGCAGTGGTCTGGTTGTTTTTCTATCTACACTATAACAAAGCTTCTGGAGTCTTATTTTGAATAAACCATTTCTCTCACAAGTGCTGAAATGCTTCTCTTACTGTATATCCACAGGAGTGGCGGCCTCGATTTCTTTCCATGAAAGCACATCACACCATTCTAAAGCCATTGTTTTCATGTTCACACAAGGACTTAGGTTTGAATCAGGACACAATATATAGGTCACAGGCCAGTTTTCTGTGAGCTTTGTCAGTTTAAATACACATGCACACGTTACAAGTTTGCATAATTGAGGTCAAGCTTCTGTTATTATTATTGATCTAAAAAATTACTGTAATTCAACTATTTTGGGTTTCTTGGCAGCTAGAAATTGTTAAGATCACGGTTTGTTAAATTCTTAGTCAGAGCCCAAAATAAGTTGCAAGCCTGTCTCTGTTTTCTCCCGACACGACAAGAATACTAATATGTTGTAACGAGCCTGGGTTCTAACATGGGGATAAAAAAATTCTTATTCAGATGCTGTGCTGAAAAAAGTGCAAAACCATTCCTAAGGTAACTTACACTGTAGAGACACACAAATACTTTATCAATTATCTGGAGAATGGGAATATACACCACAGATATTATATATTGTATTACACTGGCTGGTGGATGAATGTGTAGTGAAATCCAATAGAGACAGTTTCAAACATGTGAAGACATGGATCACAGTTTGAATAGGTCTTCCTGATATAATAATGCAGCTGTCTACATCTTTCAGTACAATTGAATTGAGCCAAGAGCATTTGGAAACCACAAAGATCTCAGGTGACTTTACGTGGCACTTACTCAGGATTGATCTCCTGAAGGCAGTAAAAAATAAATGTAAGAATTCTACTATTGACGCAGAGCTTTGAAAATCTCTTTTTTACATCAAGGTGTTTTTGGCCCATGAACATGACCTTGGTAGCTGCTGGCGAGGAAAAGTAAAGAATAAAACTTCTAAACTCCATTATGTGATAGAACATTCTGCCTCCTTCTTTTGTCTCCCTCCTCTTTTTTTCGACTAGACGGCACAGTATTTTACTTTTATCTACAGATAGCAGGACTTTGTGTTATCTTATTTTGTTTGGGAGAAGATTCACAAGTACTATCCGCCCCATGATCCCAACAGACGACAAGATACAGAACTCCAAGTCTGGAAACTTCACAGTGAGAAAAATGAGGTCTTACTGGAACTTCATTTGGTGTGTGTTAAACTCTCTGGTTATTCCCTCAGAAGATCTGGGAACCACAGTGGCTGCTGACTGCATAGTGTAGTAGTACTATAAAATACAATACAGGAACGTGTAAAAAGCAGCCTGTTTAAGATCACAGCTGAAATCTGGTGCTAGGAACTGGAGTTCGATTAGATTATTCAAGGTTGGTGGAGGTGAAAAGGACTTTGCTGAAAAAGCAGAAGTTTTTATGTGAAAATCTTGTCACAAATAAATAGTTTTGTTTTTTTTTTTTTCCTTTTTGCTTTTCAGTCTGTATCGGATACATCAGCCGAAATAACTTACTGTGTGTGGTTCCCAAGTGATGTACCTCCACATGCCTGTCATATGAACTCAAGTATCCCTTCATCATTATTAATGAACACAATGCAACTGAACTGTCAATGTCTAGGTCAGTTTACCACTTGCATTGGCAAAAGGTGAGCAGGAAACAACAAACATCCCCAGGATGTCTCCTGCTAACGTTCCCTTAAAGTTCCCTTATTGGTGATGTTCCCTGGATCAGTAAAGCAGGACCTTAACCGGATGTTAACACGATGGCTCCTTTTAGCTTTGTTACCATTTACCCAATACATTTAGCTAACTGTTTATCCATTACTATTAACTATCTGCTTTAATCATTTATGAAAAAAAAACCTTTTTGTTGTTGTTTTCTTTTTCTATTTCTTTTTTCAAATGGGTTGAGTCACTCCACAGTCTCTCCATTCGCCCCCTGGCAACTGCAGAAACACCCCCTGGTGTACATGTGTCCTTGGTTAGAAATCACAAAGATGTTCTCTGCATCTCATTGGCTCATGGAACAGGTAATATAGCCCAATAGTATCTCAGTGTGTCCTCTTAAGTTTGGGGAATGTTGGTGATCTGACGTCCTCTCCTCTTCCTCTATAATCATCACATCACATCACAACGGTCCGCAATCACACACTGCCGTGACATGCCGAGGTTGCCTTGTTGAAGCAAGACAAGGACAGAAGACATTGCCTGTAAGATGTTGTGTGAATGTGCGCTTGGTCGCGTGAGTGAGCGCACACATGTGTGTGTCTTTGTCTTTGTGCCCAGTCGAGAGTGATTGATTTTGAAGTGTGGGATCTTGACAGAGTATTCGGCTATCCCAGGAGGCACGAGACCACAGGGCCGAAACAGACGAGCAGCAGCCTTCACTTTCTTGTAGCTCCCTCTCTCTTTCTCTCTCTCTGTCCGTTCTCCCACCTCTGCCCTCTCTCATTCCC